ACTCCTTCTAAATAATATTCCATAAAAAAGTCATTTTTGACGCTTAACGTCTCTAAATTGACTAGCCCGGATCTACAGGCGTTACATTTTGGCTTCTGCACAAAGCAGTATCGCCTCAACCCAACCGTACTATGTCGACATATGCAACAAATAAACATATAACTAGCAAGTACATGTAACCATACAGATCTACCAATCTAAAATATCACTACCACATAACAACATATTATATACCAGGATACATAATATAACCTAGTGGGTCGGCATTGGTGCCTTCGACCCACGAGTACAATGAGGAAAACTCACCTTAAAGTCTAAAAGATAGTTAAACCGATCACTGCTCCAAATATCAGTTCTACAGGTCACCTATAGAACAAACAGGGACCAAGCCTCAATCTACCACTCAAATTACTCCATTTGACCTAAAGTCAAACTTGGTCAAATTCAACGGTCAAAAAAGTCAAAAGTCAACATTCAACCATTTTATGCCATGCATAACAACTCTATGCCCCGCGTAGAGCCCAAGGTGGCAAAATCGGGGAAAAGTGTAGCCAGAATTACACCCCGCGTAATAAGTTGCGTCCCAACTTAATCATTAAGCTTTTAATACAAAAGGTTCAACCACCAAATTTTTAGACCTACATTAGATGAACATCTGAATAGATAAAGCCTCTCGCTTCATCCATTTGCATGCATACCAAGGGCACAAACTGATAACCTAATTCCAGTAGGTCGCTCAAAGCTCCAAAACTCATGCATGCATGGATGAGAGTGATCAAGCTCTCAATTTTATGGCTTAACAACCCTAAAAACGTCCGAAAATGACACTTCAATGTTTTGGAGTATCTCTTACTCATATACACCATGGTTATGAGGATAAAAGCATGAAAACCTAAAGAAAATCTAGATCTATCATAAAAACTCATCAAGATGGAGACTTTATACTTTCTGGAGATGGATAAGGGAAAGGAACTTTTGCATCCAATGCTGATTTAAGCTCCTAAGCAACTCCACCACCTTCTTCTTTCTTCAAAATGCACACAAAACACTCTCAAGCTCAAAAATACACCAAAAGGGAATTAGGGTTTCAAAGGGAACGTTTAGGAAGATGGAGGCTGATGATGGAAATGCCTCAAGGATATTAGAGCCTATAAATAAGTCTCAAAACCCCGAAATTAGGGTTTTGGTTCTGGGCCGCTACACGCTGCGTAGCCTGATCTACATAGGGCATAAATCATTAAGTCCCCTATGATAAATTCCCTCCTACGAGCTGCGTAGGAGGCTACCCTATGTCGTGCGTATGATTAAACTTTGCAAATTCAAGGTTTTAAATTAAGAAGGAAATTTACCTGAGATAACCAAGTGTTACAAGTACCTATGTTATGATTATTATTAATATGATTTTAAAATTATATTATAGTATTATAGGTGATGTTAGAAATATATTGTTTTTTATATACATACATTCCTAGTTACATCCTATAATGAAGATTAATGGTAATGTTTTTATTATTCATGTTATGATGTGGATTGATTTATCATGAAATTTATATATTTTAAATTATGTCCGTTGATGATGATATTTATGTATAATTTATTATATATCAGACTTGTTGATGTTGTTAGAATTAGAAGTATTAAAAAAATCAAGTCAGTTTTTGGATGAGATTATGATCGTGTTTTTTAATAAAAGTTTCAAAGAGTAATATTTAACCTATTACAATCATAGATGGGAAGCCTGATGCATACAGGTATACCACAAACCTGATGGTTATTTACTAACGGAACACCTGACGGAACGTGACCGGATTTGAGATACAATTTTATAATCAGGTACGAGAGTGTGGATCACCAATACTCGTTTCATTGACATCCCTAGGTTAGAAGAAATATGATTTTGGGATTTAAATGGCGTTGTGCTGCAAAGGACGAGAGGGAGCGGGAGAGGGAGAAGGAGAAGGTGGGGATTTATGTTGTATTATAAAATTATTAAATATTTAGACAAAATTGAAATGAATGGTCCCTTTGGTATGTCCAAAATTGTCACTTTGGGTCAAACAAGTTTGGACTAGCACCAATGGTCCAAAAGTTTCCATTTTGTTGCCATTTTGGTCCAGTTTATTTTAATTTATTTTGTAACGAGGATTTTACCCTTGGATTTTGGTTTTTTTAGTTTTTTTAAGTTATTTAAATACTTTTATAATTAAAAAGAAAATCTCTCTCTCTCTCTCTATCTCTCTCGTCGCCACCATTTTGTTTCTTTTCAAAAAAATGGAAAAAAAATACAATCCATGAACACCACTTCAGAAATTAGAAATCCATGAACACCCACTTCATAAATCAAAACCCATCTTTATAGTTTTGATTTTCAGAAAAATAGAATATCACCACCACCATCGAAGATTTGAACCATATTCAGGGGAAAGAAATCGATATCTTTCCTTCAAACACGAACAAACACATACACGAACATATCTCATTTCGTCTTCAGATCTCTGAGCAGATATGACGAGGTAGAGAGATGGATTTCGATTCAAAATTTTGTCCTACGTCGGTTTGTCTTCTCTGAACCACGATGTAGATCTGGAAGACGGAATGACGATAAAATCAAATACTTCTGCATAGATTCATCCAAATCGATCTCGAAAAGGAACCACCGTCGATCTAACCCTTGTCAGCGTTGTCTGTTAAAGCAAGACCTACCACCTAACACTCATCCCTTCACCCCAGGTGTCTCCCCCTCGATTTCCAGTCGTGAAACACCCCATCTGAAAACCTTAGCCGCCAAGAAACCCTAACTTCAGATCTCGATCTCCTTTCTCTCGTCGTCGGCTGTCGAGGTTCAAAGGGAGGGTAACAACGATCGAAGCGGGTGTTTGGGGTGGTGCTACATGATCGGAGGGAAGCGGAGGGGGATCCTAGGCCGGCGACAGCCGCCCGTTTCTTCTTCTTTGGACGGTGGTAAGCAAGAGAGAGAGAGAGAGAGAGAGAGAGAGAGAGAGGCTGATCAGGGATGCAGAAGGTTTGCTTGATTTTTTTTTGTTGGAGATGGAGATGCTCTTTGAGGGTGGCTCTTGGGAACAACAATGAAACACAAAGATGGAAGAGAGAGAGAGAGAGAGAGAGAGAGAGAGAGAGAGAGAGAGAGAGAG